TTTGCCTGAGTTGGCGGTGTTTGGTGTTGGTGCTGCTGTGGAGCATCCTCCGACTTTAACTGCACTCCCTGGCTCCTCCGTACGCACAGTGTGACATCTCTCTGATGGGAAGTACTGGCTAAGAAAGGTGTACCAGTTTTTGTTAATCAGGAGGAATTATGCCCAGGGGATGGAAATCTGAGTCTTTCTCAAGCAGCAAGCATTCCACCACACCACAGCACCAGCAGTCCTTGTCAGTGTTACACACACGACATTTTCAGTAAGCTTGTGTTTTCCCCCCTTAACCTGTAGTACAGTTTTCAGAAGCACTTTCCGAGGTCCACAAGTCGTCTGTTGCACTCTCTGTTTCTCCCAAGACACATTTAGCTATAGCAGAATCACATTCTGGTTTGTGGGCTAGGTCGTTCATGTAATGATTCTGTAATTCTCAAAAAACAAAAGCTGTATTCAAAGCCAGGTTGAAGACTCTGGAAGAAATGGAATCTGTAAGGTATAGGTGAGTATTGGAGACAGACAAGTGGAGTTGGAACAGCTGTGGAGTTTCTAATGGAAGCAGCCACCCTGGCAACTCCCTTCCTCTCTGGAGACTTTTAATCTGCTCAGACAGAAGGTACAGAGTGGCTTAGTTCTTGTCTTGCTAGGGACTTGAGAAAGATGAGCTCCCAGTGGAGTGAAGTAGAGCACTGTACTCTGGGTCCATGGGGAAAAGCAAGCTGTCGTGGGAGATGAGGTCGGCCTGGGCACCAACAGTTCCGTTCATCTGCAGGTGGTGAGTGCTGAGTGGGGGACCGTAAGAAGGAATAGCTGAAATAGAATTCATTCCCAAACACTCCAAGAAGGTAGAGTTCACATGCAGATTGACCCACAGCAGCTACACTCTGTAGAAAGGATGTCTTTTAGTTCTTAAACACTATGGCCTGAAATTAGGACCCTTTGTAATCTGCTTAAGATATAAAATTTATGAGAAAAAACAGGACATGGTGATCCAAGCCTGTAATCTCAGTGCAAGGTTACTCTTGGCTGCACTGGTGAGGCCAGTCGGGACTGGATGACTCGCTGCCCCGGGAAACCACCCAGTGACTGGAGAGGTGGCTGCTCTTGGAGAAGACCCGAGTTCAGTTCCCAGCACTGTGTGTAATTGCAGTTCCAGGGGATCCAGGACCCTCTTCCGGCCTTTCAGACACCAGGCTTGCACATGGTGCTCAGATATATATGTAGGCAAACATATAGAAAAATAAATAAACATTAGCAGCAAACAAACACATCAGGAAGAATCAGCTCTGGGTATACCCATGACTCCAGCGTTGCCTCTGGGGCCAAGGAATGGGGGGTTCGTGTGCTCCCGTGCTCAGCGTGGACCTCTGGCCTCGGCTCCTGAGTGCTAGGATGACAGGCATGCACATGGCACCTGGCTTGTGATAGACCCTTGTTGGCCATCAGGAATCCCCAGTAAACAGGTCCCTGGTAATTACCTGCGTTCCAGATATCTTTAGGACATACCCACTATTTTCTTTACATCCCAGATCTTCTCACAGCTGGACAGGGAAGCCTGGTGGTTAGAAATGCCTTTTGGAGGGAGACAGACCTGGTTTCAAATCCTCAGTTAAACCTACTGACATTAAGGAAGTTTATCTTTTTTTTTTTTTTTAATTATTTTTATTTTATGTGCATCGGTGTTTTGCCTTCATACATGTTTGGAACTGGAGTTGCAGACAGTTGTGAGCTGCCATGTGGGTGCTGGGAATTCAACCCTGATCCTTTGGAAGAGCAGCCCATGCATCTCTCCAGCCCTGCAAGTTTTATCTTTTGAAGCCTGTCTTTGTCATCTGTAAAATGGGCACATGGCTCTCACTTCACGTGGTTACTTTGCATGCGGGGTGGGTTACGGTGGTGGCTGTTGGTGAATCTTCAGTGCTGTTTTAAACGGAAGTGGGTGTCCTTGCCTGTTCCACTCACCCGTTCCCTAACTGACTTTTTCTTTGTGACCCTGGGACATACACTCTTCCAAACCTGTGTGAGGACAGTCACCCAAGAACTGGCCCGTCCCTGAGTCAGGGAGGGGGGATGGGAACGGGGCCAAAGTGAGATGAGATAGGGAAAGGGTGGACAGGGCCTGGAGCCCTGGCCTCTCAGAAGGTGGTGTTTATGTGTCTCACTCGAGGTGACATTGTAGAATATGTGGTCGCTGAAACCAGTTTCCAAGGCTTAGGGTTGGGTTAGCCTTTAATTAATTATTTACAGCGTGTATTTTGCCACAATCATAATTGGGTTGACGCTTTCCACATCGTGGGAAGGAGGAAGGCATTTGTCAGAAGAGCTGTAGATTAAATGACTCATCTGAGGTCAAACACACAACAAGCAGCTGAGACAGCAGGCGGACAGACGGACGGACAGGCTGTCACCCTGCGGCAGGGGCACCCACTCTAGCCCCACATGTCTGTGAGTTAGACACCAGGCTTCACCGCATCTCTCAGAATATCCCTTTCTGAGTGGGAGATGCAGCTTTCTTCCTTGGCTCTATCCTCAGAGAGCCTTTTCCTCAGCACCTGCCAGGCAGTTCCGTTCTCCAGCTGCCCCTGACCCTGTGTGTCTGTTTGTGGCTTTGTTGTCTCTCCTCGCCCCATGGTTAGTGCATAACCCTCATGGCACAGGGCTTTGTCCTTCTACTTCCTTCCCGTGTACCGTCGCGGTTTTCCAGCTCTGTACATGTTAGGCATTTACATGTCCTATGTTTGCAGAAACATGACCCATCTGAAATCCGTAGTGTAGACTAAGCGCATGCCGAATGCTCAGCTAAAGCTGATTGGTAGTGTGTAATTCATGTCTGCTGCCCCTGTGTTGTCCCTCGTGCTCCCCTTCAGAGACAGAGCCTTAATGGGGAGGGGCTCTGAGGAAGAGGCAGTGGGAACCCCGGACGTTTGGGCGGAGCTCAGCTTTGACTTAGCTGTCCACTACAGAAGGTGACACTTTGGTGTGAGCTTTTTGTTTGGTTGTTTGCTTTAGTTTTGGATGAAATGTTTCATTGGCTTGTTTGTTCTGGTGATTTCCACAGGGGGGAGATCATTCTGAGGGAGTAGGTGTGATATTGGGAGCTAGCCCTTCTCAGTTTTCTTCAGCAAAATGAGGCTGGATGGGGACTCTCTGGGACGTTAGAGAACAGTAACTTGGCAACTCTTTTGTTTGTTTTTTGTTATTGTTCTTTCAACACAGGGTCTTACCAAGTTGCCCAGGCTGGCCTTGAACTTGCAGTTCTCCAAACTTAGTATCTTTGCAGCTGGCAGTTTCTCCCTCTGCTTTAAAAAGAGAAACATGTGAAATCCTAACAAACATATCACAGCTGTGGTCAAGTTAAAAAAAAACAAAAACAAAAAACCCAGACTGGGAGTTGTGCACTCCTGAAATCCAAGAGACTTAGGCTGAGGCAGGAGCACTGTAAGTTCAAAGCCAGCCTGGGCTTTTTAGTGAAACCTTGTCTTAAAGTGCAAAGATAAAAAATAAAAAGGGCTGAGGGTGTTAGGTCTTACTTGTTCTATTTCAGGCCCTGGAATCAAGTCTTTGAAATTATTTTTCTTTAATTAATCTTCTTGTGTGTGGGTGCATTGCCCTCGGAAGCCAGAAGGCATCTGATTGGAGCTAAAGGAGCTTGTGAGGAAATCAGTTCTTTAAGTACCACCAAAAACATAAAGGAAAGGAAATAGTCTGCGGACAGAAAAAGGACCGCTGCCCTGACCTCCACGCAAATGCTCTTTCATGACTTAAAATGTCCACAAGGCTAACAATTTGGAATACTTGTCTGTTAACATGGGATTTTGCTTCTATTTTTGAAGTCCCAGATGAAGTGACTGTTATATTGTTCTATTATTAAATAAAACTTGGGGATCCGATATTGGAGTAAGAACCTGATAGATCCAAAGAACACCCGAGGACTGATCAGTCGACCCTGCCTCTCCACACTTCCAGATCAAAAAGGCCCTCAAATCTTTCTGAGCCCCTCCCTGATCCTTTCTGTGTCTCTCTATCCCAGTTTGGGTCGGCCAAAAACTCTATGGTTAATTCTGGCCAACTAAATGTTGACTCCACCCTCTGATTCAAGGGTTAACTTTATTGGCAGTCAGGAGTGTCAGAGTGCAATCAAAATATTCCACAGCATATTATTGTTGTTGCTTTCATGCTCTTGTAGACCAGGCTGGTCTTGAACTCATGATGCTTCTGCTTAAGCCTCCGAAATGCTAAAATTACCAACTGCATCACCACCATCTGGCAAGTTTATTGTTTGAAAAAAAAAATGAATTTCCCGATGAATATGGTGGTGCATGCCTTTAATCCCAGCACTTGGGAAGCAGAGGCAGGCGGATCTCTGTGAGTTCGAGACCAGCTTGGACTACATAGTGAGTTCCAGAACAACTGGGGCTATTTGAATTATTAACCACTCAACCAACCACTGAGTGTGTAGGATTAGTGGTTTTCTGATCTGCTGATGGGAATGTCTCCTGTGTTTTGCTGACTTCTGGAAAACTGGTCTGTCTGTCTGCTTTGTTTTGTAAGACTGTGAACAGGACAGACAACTTTGTTTCAAAACAGTATTAGCCCAGCACTGAAACTATTAGTATCTTTGGGTTCCATTTCCACTGGAATGTCTTCTCCGTCAGACCAACTCTTCAGATTTTTAATCACATTCCATGAGTTTTCTTTTGCATTCTGAACACTCCGTGGCCATAATTGAGATTATAGATGGCTCTGACCCAGCAGGAGCTTAGAGTCTAGACGGAAGTGAGGAAGGACAGGTGGCGGGAAGTTGAAAGACCCATTTGTGTCTGGGCCTTATGCTTGCTTTGAAATGTTTTGACTTCTAAACTTCTAGTACCAAGGCCCAAGAGGCAGGGGGACTTTTTAGCAGTGCGTGCTTTTATGATTCCAAATATGTTAACAGTTGGGAATTTATTGCACTAATCCGTGAGTAACCCACAACCTAAAAGCCCCTGGCTCTCTTGTTTTCACAGGTGTTGGGGCGATGTTTCCTGACGGTGGTGCAAGTCCATTTCCAGTTTTTGACTCACGCCCTGCAAAAAGTCCAGCCGGTGGCTCACTCTTGCTTTGCCGAGGTAGTTGTGCCGGAAAGAAAGAACAGCAGCAGTCTGTCTGGTGTGAGTCACACACCTGAACTGGAGGAAGCAGTGCGATCCTGGCGGGGGGCTGCCCAGGTAACTGACCCGGGAGACCTGGCTGGGTTCCAGTGGAAGAGGCCACAGGGCTTCTTGGCTGTTGGCTCCGAGAAGAACCACTTGCTTTAGACACTGAGTTATAAACATCACTATCTTGCTTGTTCTTGTGACAGCAAGTGTCTTTAAGATTGTCTACTTTGAGCCAGGGGTGGTGCAAGAGACAGATAAACCCTGTCGCAAAAAAAAAAAAAAAATCTGGGGGGGAGGAGGCCGGGCGGTGGTGGCGCACGCCTTTAATCCCAGCACTCAGGAGGCAGAGGCAGGCGGATCTCTGTGAGTTCGAGGCCAGCCTGGTCTACAGAGTGAGTTCCAGGACAACCTCCAAACCTACAGAGAAACCCTGTGTCGCAAAACAAAACAAAAAACCCCCAAATGGAAAAAAATGTCTACTTTATGTCAGGCCTGTGCCAGGCACTAAAATGATACTTAGAGAGAAAGACTTAGGAAACAAGGTACAGAGGGTGCAGGAGTTGTCCAGAGCAAGAGGAAGGGCCCTGCTTCTGAATGGGATTGGTATGGGAAACTCCAAAGAGGTGAGCCAGTGGGTAAGACTGCACCTAGCTCAGTGGGCAGCCAGGTAGACTGGGCAACAGGACTGCCTGGCAAGAAGAACCTCCCAAACACTAGGGTTTCGGAATGTACCACCACAGCTGGTTATGTGGTGCGGGGGCTGGAACCCAGAACTTCATGCACGCTAGGTAAGCACTCCGAGAGCAGAACTACATTCTCAGCCCTGTTAGGTGCATTGTGCTATTGTTCTTGTTTTGTCTTTATTTACTTATTTATCTTTGGTTTTCCGAGACAGAGTTTCTCCGTAGCCCTGGATGTCCTGTAGACCAGACTGGCCTTGAACTTAGAGATCCACCACCCGCCTCTGCCTTTGAGTGCTGGGAATAAAGGTGTGCGCCACCACCGCCCAGCTGTTGTTTTTAGTTTAAAGATTTGTTTTTGGTTGTGTGGGCAGACATATATATGTGACTGCAGCTGCTATGGCGGCCAGAAGGGTTATCAGGTCCCCTGAAACTGCTTAGTGTAGATGCTAGGACTAAAGTCAGGTCCTCCGCAAGGACAGTCCACACTGTTCATCACTGAGACAGCTCTCTTGCTTGTTGTTACCTTTGAGATGAATTCTCACTTTGCAGCCCAGACTGGCCTCTGATTCATGGCAGTTCTGGGATTACAGACCTGAGCTGCTTCGGCAGCCGTCTTGTTCTTGGAGAAGTGTTTGGAATCTTTGTAATTTTTGTTCTGCAACCATGAGGAATGGAGTTTGCATTCTAGTACCCACGTAAGAAGCCAGGCACGGTCCCAGGCTCTGAGTGAGGTGGAGACAGGGGGATCATTGGAGTTTGCTGACTGTCAGCATAGCCAATAACATCCTAAAAAACCCAAAATGATTATCTGGGTCAGGGGAGACTTTGCTGTGAAGGAATATGAAAGTGAATGAGCGGCAGAGGGAGATACCCAGTGCTGCCTCTTCTTCCTGCAAGTGCATCCTTTCAGACATGCAGAGAGTTAAAGTTTTGTCAAAAGATTCTCTTTTTGGTTTTTTGAGTTAGGGTTTCTCTGTGTAACAGCCCTGCCTGTTTTAGAACTTACTCTGTAGACCAGGCTGGTCTTGAACTCCCAGAGATCTGCTTGCCTCTGCCTCCCAAGCACTGGGATTAAAAGTGTGCACTGCCACCTCCCAGCTCTGTAAAGCTTAAGTGTCTTAAGTAAGACACATTTTCTTGGGTATGCAGGACCTGATTTAAGTGTGTGTGTGTGTGTGTGTGTGTGTGTGTGTGTGTGTGTGTGTGATGAAGGGGGGCAGGGCGGAAGGAAGAGGTCTTGGGCAGGAGGAAAGAAGGTCACACAATCCATGTGGCAGGGGTGTGAGCGCAGGAGAGGACAGTGATGGGGTGGAATAGAGCTTACGTGTAGCAGATGTATGAAGTGCTGAAGTGAAGGCCATTAATGTACATGCCAAGAAAAATAAATAGAAAAACATGCTCTGGTCGAATGCTCTAGAACCTCATTTACCCGTTGCTTTGCATGTGATTTGAGCTGTTTTCCTATTTATTTAATGCATGAAGTCTTTCACCTTTTAAAGATCAGTTGCTTCCCAGCACAGCTTCTCTAGAGGATAGAGACGCATGATGGAATGCTGTGGTGACCATGAGTGGGGGAGGGGGTGTGACAGAGTACAGTGAGCATTCTTTGGGGACTTCTGGTTCCCACGCCACCTCACTGCTGAGGACCTGCTATGCAAGTGGGCTGCAGGCTATGTCCAAGCCTTTTCATGGGATTCCTGCCTAGTATACAATTCTTTCTCTGGCCACTCTTCCATGGTAGTCTCTAGTCCAGGGGTTCTCAGCCTGTGGGTCATGACCCATTCGGGGGCCTTTCACAGGTCACCTAAGACCATGGAAAAACACAGATATTTACATTACAGTCATAGCAGTAGCAAAATGAGAGTTATGAAATAGCAATGAAAATAATTTTATGGTTAGAGGTCACCACAACATGAGGAACTGATTTAAAGGGTTGAAGCTTTAGGAAGATTGAGAACTGCTGTTCTAGTCCTTTCTACACCTAGAACTTAAACTTTAATGTAAACAAATGGAAGTAGTTCTTGTGATGGCAAGGTGGCTCAGTGGGTGAAGGGGCTTGCTGCCAGGCGGATCTCTGTGAGTTCAAGACCAGCCTGGTCTCCAGAGTGAGCTCCAGGACAGCCTCCAAAGCTACACAGAAAAACCGCATCTCGAAAAACCAAAATAAATAAATAAAAAATAAAGAAGAAGAAATCTTTATAAAGTCTGTTTGTCTGTCTCCCACTCTTTCCTCTCTTCCCCCACCTCATCCCCCCCCCCTTTTTTTTTTCCGAGACAGGGTTTCTCTGTGGCTTTGGAGTCTGTCCTGGAGCTCGCTCTGTAGACCAGGCTGGTCTCGAACTCACAGAGATCCTCCTGCCTCTGCCTCCCCAGCACCAGGATCAAAGGCGTGCGCCACCACCTCCCGGCCCCTCTCTTTTGGGGGGAGAGATGATAGCATTTTGCTCTATGGCCCCATCAGGCCTCAAACTCCCAATGCTCCTGCCTCAGCCTCCCAAGTGTCGGGGTTGTGGGTGTCTGTCACTATCCCCCACCTGCTAACCTTGTTAAATGCGTGCAGGTGTTTCTTTCACATGCAGTAGCGCACCATGGGTGTGCAGTCTCCGAGAAGGGGACTGGAAGCGGGCATGCATTCCCTGGACCCGAAAT